CCAACCTTCTGGTGAGCAGTCAAGTGCCTTAGGCACTATGCTACCAGATAGAACTGTGCTTTTCAGGGTTTTGAAGACTCTGGCCTTTTGGAAGCAGATTACCGGGGCTATCTTCTAAGGCACCTCTGAATGGGTTTGAAATACCAACCTTTCGAGTAATAGTCAAGTACTTAACTGTGCCACCTGGACTCTTATTAGCAATACCATAGGCTTTTTAGTATGGTATTGCTAATATGTGATTCTTTCTAGTGTAAACAGTATTTGGTGATAGTTGTTGGACCTGGGATCTTATATTCCATCTAATTTTGATTTTGTGAAAATTAATTTACTGAGTTACAGTGTCAAAAACAAAATAAAGACCAGGAGAAGATATGAATACTAAGTTCACTTTCAGTTCTTGCATCGTATGACTCTATTTCTCTCATTTCTTTATGGATCTATATATGAATATGTGTTGGAGTAGGACAATAATGGACCAGTGTACCTCACATGTTCAATAAGGAAGGAAGAGACCCTGGTAAAATTTGAATGTTGTTAGTAGCTAAATTCACAGAAAAGGGAATAGGAATCATTTCTTCTTTTTTTATTATTATTTTGATGACTCAGTTATTTTAACTTCCACTAATACCATTACAGCAACATTTGGACAACTCAGCAGAATAATTTCCAAGTCACACAAATATTTGAGGCCTCGTTAAAAACAAAAAGTATTTGGGACCTCTATTTAAAAAGGAAGAAGAAGAAGAACAGTCAAAACACTCTTTGAAAGGGAGGATGGTGAGACTTTGTCTCACATACTTTGGACATGTTATCAGGAGGGAGCAGTCCCTGGACAAGGACATCATACTTGATTAAGTAAAGGGTCAGCAAAAAAGAGGAAGACCCTCAATAAGCCAGATCGACACAGTGGTGACAGCAATGGGCTCAAATATAACAACGTTTGTGAGGATGGCTCAGGACAAGGCAGTGTTTCTTTCTATGGTACATAGGGTCGCTATAAGTCAGAACAATTCAACAGCACCTAACAACAAGATAAAAACAAATATCAAGTGTTACTATAGCTGATAAGAGTAATTATACTGAAAAATGAAAAGGCATGTAGAACAAATAGCACAGGAATTAATGAAGATGTCTGGGTAAGAATTAAATTGATAAGAATTTTCAATTTAATTGAAAAGAAAAAGTCAATCCCAAATATGAGCATTTACCCATTCAGGTAATTTTTAGCCATTAACTCATATAAAGCATTTTGCTAAATTCTGTGGAGGAAGCATTTAGGAATAAGACTCATTTTTCCTTTTTTTAACCATCATAAAATTTAAAGCTGGGATGTTAGATAAGATAGCTACAATAATAATTATAAGACAAAATATATAGAGAATATGAAAAAAGGTTCCACCACACATACAATTGAGCAGCTGAAGAGGTAATTTCTGATTGGGATTATTTGAGGATGTCTCAAAGAAGATATAATATTTGAGCTGAATCTTAAGAATGGGTAGAATTTCAACAGGTAGAGATTAGGGCAAAATGAAGAAGAGGTGAAGGTGAAGAACATCTTCCAGATAGAAATAAACAGCATTAGTCAAGGTATAGATAATGTGTAGTGTTACCTTGAAATACTGAGTTATTCAGGATAAAAGAGAAAAACCAAACCCATTGCCATTGAGTCCATTTCAATTCATACAGTTTCCGAGGCTAAAAATCTTTATGGAAGCAGGCTGCCACATCTTTCTACTGCAGAGCAGCTGGTGGATTTGAATTGAACAAAAATCCTTTTAGCAGGTGAGCACTTTAACCAATGCACCACCAGGGATCTTCAGATAGCTGTAAAGTAGGATATATTACAAAAGTGTTCAGATTCAGGGAAGGTGCAGTGTGGTGGATCACTTTTATATGACCTTTCTTGCCATAGTCTTAGAACTTCCACCAAATGATTGGGGTTATGCAAATAAGGTGCTTGTAGCTCACCAAGGGGATTGGACATCTTGCTAATAATGCAAATAAGGTTCGTGGCACTCTTGTCGGGGTAGGACCACGCAAATAAGGTATATGAAGGCCTAACAAAGGGATTGGTCAGTTTTGCCATCCTGCTAGGCTTCAAATGGGCCATTCCAGAGATGGGAAGAGGGATAACTCACTACCAAAAAGAAAGAAGGGCCAAGAGTAGAGTGTGTCCTTTGGACCTGGGATCCCTGCACTGAGAATCTCCTAGACTCAGAAGACAGAGAAATGTGACACAGGTGATAGTGTGAGAAGGTGAGAAGTGGTGGCAAGCATGGCAGAGAACCAGCAACAGCAGAACCAAGAGACAGGCAGGAGATGGCATGGTAGGCTTTCTGGAGCGAGAGAACTGAGCATCTTCAGGCAAGAAACTTGCTGGCAGAGTGTGGTGCCTCTGAGCACTTGACAGGGCTAAGGCTTGATCAAGGAGTTAGAGAGCTGAGAGCTTTGGGGCTGCAGCTTACTGGTGGAGTAGGGTGGACACTTACACAAGAAGTTAAAGAGCTTTGTAACACTTGGCTTAAGCAGGGCAGAGGCCGTACCAGCCCAAGAGGATGAAGGGGCCGAGGGCCAGGGAGAAGCCTGCCTGTGGACACAGCTGAGAAGCTGTTCTGACCAAAGAACTGTATCCTGGGTCATTTCTGATCCTGAATTGTAACCTGGTAATTCCCTAATAAGCCCTATATTTATTAGCATTGCCCGTGAGTTCTGTATGGTAATTTCAAAGAATTCTTGAACCCAGCTGAGGAGTAAAGAATTCCATGGAAGGGATGGCTGAGGTAGGAATTGATTTAAAAAACAAACAAACAAAAAAAAATGGAGAGAAGTATGTCTGACTTGTGTTTCATAGGAATCAGTCTTGAGCTGTTGATGCTGATAATGATTCTCCATTCTTCCCCTTGTAAAATTAGATGAGCAAGTCCATGTCACCATTTTTGCAGAAGGAAGTGGTTGGCATTCAACTACTAACCTAAAGTTTGATGGTTCAAACTCATCCAACAGTTCCTTAAAAGAAAGCTCTGGTGATCTGCTTCCATAAAGATTACAACCGAGAAAACCCTGTGAGCAGTTCTACTCTGTCATAGACGGGTTAGTCATAAGTCAGAATCGACTGCACAAGTTTGTATTTTTTCTTTTTATTTTTTTAATGTCACAGAAGACAAGAGAAGACTATTAAGGAGTCAATGTATCAAATGATGAATATTTTATTAAGGAGGATGAGGTAAGAGAAAAAGATGTTTCGGTTTACCATTTACGACTAATTTTAGCAGAGTCATGTGGACAGAACAAAAATTGCGCAAGGTTAAGAAGCAAGCAGTCTGAACAACAGGCTTCAGAACAAGCCAGTGTCTTTGAAAATGAGGAACTATGCTGAAGTGAAAGAGACTTAGGAGACATAACATCCTAATACAAGTGCAGTCCTAGGTTGGATATTGTTGTGGACAAAAGAGCTGTAAAGGGTATTTTTGCACAGTGCAGAGGGTGGGGGGTAAGTGCTGGGTATTTGTTAAGGTGCAATCTTACTGTGTAACGTGGAAACTGCTAACTGAAAAAAGATTTTATAAAGCAACATACACAGGATAATCTAAGTTTGCTAAACAAGAAAAATACGTGTACATATATATATATAAACATAGATATATCCATACAGAGGAGCTCTGGTAGCGTAGTGCCTAAGGCATCTGGAGGTTCAAACCCACCAGCCACTCCTCGGAAGGAAGGTTGGGCAATCTACTTCCGTAGTGATACCGCCTTGGAAACCCAAGGAGGGGTCGCTGTGAGTCGGGGCCAACTCAACGGCACATAACAACAACAACAACAATATCCATACAGACACACATGGAAAAAGATCTTGAATGATATAAATTATAGTGTTAAAAGTACTAATCACTGGCTGGTGGATATATGATGTTTTCATCTTCTTATTTTTGTTTGTTTGTTTATATTTTCCAATTTTCTTTACGTATATATTCTGCTTCTATAATAGTCAAATTATTCTTGCCAAGTTGTATTCATAAAAAACAAATGAGAAAGTGAGGAAATTAAATGCAAAGAGGGTGAACTATTCTTGAGAAATAGAACAGTAAAGGAGAAAAGGGGATTGTATCTAAAATACATTGTTGTTCTTGTTAGTTGCCACCAAGTTGATTCTGACTCGTGTGTGTACACTTCACCCACATTTGGTGTTATAGTTCCCATTACCAGAAATGACGAGTGTCAACTATACAGAAAGCAATCTCCCTTCATCCCCACCCTCATCTATCCCTGGTAACCACCAGTAGTTGTTGGTTTCAATATGTATACCTATTCTTATCTTTTTATAATAGTGAGAACATACAGTATTTACTCTTTTGTGATTGACTTATTTTACTCAGCAAAATGTCCTCCAGATTCATTCATGTTACAATATAGTTTGAGAAATCACCATTATTCTTTATGGCTGCATAGTATTTGATTTTCTCTATTATCAGAGGATGTTTTTATGTGGCCCAGTGTGAAGTCAAGGAATACAAACTAAAACAATGTGAGATCCTTGTGGTTTTGTGACTCTACATCATTATGTGGGAAAAGAAAGTTAAAACTCTAAGAATATGGACTTCTTAAAAGATACAAATAGACCAAGTTCTCCCTCAATTGAAAGTTATACTTGCACATGCACCAGAGTTATGTTAGCCAAATAAAGTTGGTATTTGGGATAATTTCCCAAATAACCCAAGTCAAAATGCTTTCATCCAAAATAAAATAAGTAAAAGATATTGATAGGTTTAACATTTTCTTTCATCATTTTGCAGAAGCTTAGAAATGAAGTCTTTCCCTGCTGAGACCGATTCAACTGACCTACTCTCAAAACCCCCAGATGAATCGCAAGTTCTCTGCATGGTCATTCTGGGCCTCACTTTCTTATTGGGATTGCCAGGCAATGGGCTGGTGCTGTGGGTGGCAGGCCTAAAGATGCAGCGAACAGTGAACACAGTTTGGTTTCTCCATCTTACTGTGGCAGACTTTCTCTGCTGCCTCTCCCTGCCCTTCTCCCTGGCTCATTTAGCTCTTCAAGGACACTGGCCCTACGGCTGGCTCCTTTGCAAGCTCATCCCCTCCATCATCATCCTCAACATGTTTGCCAGCGTCTTCCTGCTTACTGCCATCAGCCTAGACCGCTGTCTTGTGGTACTCAAGCCAATCTGGTGCCAGAATCACCGCAATGTGAAGACAACCTGTGCCGTCAGTGGATGCATCTGGGTGATAGCTTTTGTGATGTGTATACCTGTGTTTTTGTACCGGGAAATGTTCACTGTAGACAACCGTAATATGTGTGGCTATAGTTTTAACGTCTACAGCTCATCAGATTATCCAGACTTCACCTATAATCTATTGGAAAATGAATTTCTTGATGGCTACATTGCCCAGCTGCCCGGGGAAACAGATGATAGATTAGATTCTTCCTCTTCCCAAACAAATGACCATCCCTGGACAGCCTCCACAATGAATCCATTGACAACTTCCACTGATCTTCATGCTCAGACATTCCAAAGACCTTCTGAAGATTCACTCCATATGAATTTGTCTAGATTATCCTATCAATATTCCTATTATAATTTATTTAAATCTGCTGATGTGGTCTCCCCTAGAACACCCAGTGGTTTGCCTGGATTTCTCAGTAAAGATGGCAGGATTGACTCACTGGATAACTCTAATGCTCTTCTCTCTACTGATTTAGAACTATTCCCCAATGCTTCTAGCAACTCCTCATACACGCATGAGCTATTACACAATGACTACAGTGGTAATTTAAGCCAATTCACATACAACAATCAAGTGTCAACACCTCTAGTAGCAATAACCATCACAAGGCTAGTAGTGGGTTTCCTGCTGCCCTTTATTATTATGGTGGCCTGTTACACCCTCATTATCTGCCGAATGAGACAGGGACGCTTCAAAGCTCGGGGCAAAACTTTGCGAGTAGCTGTGGTGGTGGTGATTGTCTTTCTTGTCTGCTGGACTCCATACCACATAGTTGGAGTCTTAGGATTGTTTATTGATCCAGCAACTCCCTTTGGGGAAGCTCTGCTGTCTTGGGACCACGTGTCCATTGCTCTAGCGTCTGCCAATAGCTGCTTTAATCCATTCCTCTATGCCTTCCTGGGGAAAGATTTTAGGAAGAAAGCAAGGCAATCCATGCAGGGCATTCTGGAGGCAGCCTTCAGTGAGGAACTCACACACTCTACCAGCTGCCCCCCAAATAAAATCTCTTTAGAAAGAAATACTATCAATACAGCTGTGTGAAGGTGTGAGTAGTCAATCCAAGAAGTTCTTAGTTATTCACCCAATGCCATGTGTTTCTAAAAGGTTGAAAGTGAGCAAGGAAATTCAGAAACCACCAAAGAATCATAAGCAACATTTTAGTCCAGTGGTTCTCAAAGTATGTTGCCCAGACTAGTGATACCAGCTTCACCTGGACACCTGTTAGAAATGCAAACTCTCAAACCCCACCTCAGACTTGCAGAATCAGTATCTCTGGGAGGTGGGGTCCAGTAAGCTCTCTTGATTTAACAAGCTCGCTTGTTTCTGATGGTTGATATATTTGCTATTGTAAAAGTTAGATTATATATGTTCAAAACTAAACCATGTGACATAAATGAGGAACTAGACTGTTTCTAAATGTTTCCATCACTAAATTTTTCCTTTAGCATTATCTAAATCTCCTTTTAGATGCAATGTAAACTCATTTCTTCCACTCCTACCTGTGTGAAAGGTGATGATTTATTTTAGAGCTTTGTTGTGGTGGTGGTTTTTAAATGAAAAGAAGGTGCTTATGATCCCTCCTAAAAAAGTCTATGAAAACAAAGAGTTACTATGAGACTGAAAAGGAGCCCTGTAGGTAATGGTTAAATGTTCATTTGTTAACCACAAAGCCAGTAGTTCAAACCCACCAGGAACTCCGTGGGAGAAAAGATCTGGTGACATGCTTCTGTAAAAATTAAACCAAAACAAAAGCTGTTGTTGTTGCGTAGAGACTCATAGCGACCCTATAGGACAGGGTAGAACTGTCCCATAGGGTTTCCAACGCTCTAGTGGAAATGTGGCCTACTACATTTTTCTCCCACTGGGTTGCTGGTGGGATTGAACCATTGATCTTTGGGTTAGCAGCTGAGAGCTTAACCACTCTGCCACCAGGGCTCCTTCCTATAAAGATTACAGTCTAGGAAATCCTATGGGGCAGTTCTACATGAGACCAAGTCTGGAGCAAAATAAGATGTCAAACACCTGCTATTTGGAACACACCTGGGAACAGGACATGGTGATTCCAAGGTTCTACTTTTACAACTAAGTAAGCATTTATTGTGTGAAAACAGACCATAAATGCTTCTGAAAACTTACTCATAAATGTTATGTAAGCTGCAGTTTGAGTTCTCTTCTCCACCTCTTCATCTGCCGACTGGTAGAATCAACTCTCTCTCGTTCCTTTTCTTAAGCTTTTTGATTCCCTCATTCCTCCCATGCCTCTAAACATTCTTCCACATCAGATTTTTGGCCCCAAATAGCCTTTCATTTCATAGTATTTGATTTATCCTCTTCCTCTTGCTCCAAATTAATACTTTCCAAAGACTTCACCTCAAACGAAAGGAGAAAAAGGGTGGAGGATAGAGCAGCAATTATTGAATCTACTACAAAATGACTGAATACTATACCAGAAATACCATCAAAATTTTTAAAACATAACTATGTATGTGTATCTTTCATGCCGTAACTATCACATATATCTTTTGAGCTTTCTAATCTTTATTCTTACCAAAGTTAAACAATGCACATTGTTTACGAAGAAAAAATTGAAGTAAGACTTATAATGAAATGTACAATGTCTCCAACCCAACTCTGCCTGATGCCCAACTGCTCTCCTCCTCTCATTCCCATCTTCCCAAGACAAGCCCTGCAATTCTTTTAGATATTTCTAAATTATGTGCACATGCTATTTTTTCAGGCATGACAAAATGACTTCTTACTCTGAAAGATGAAGATTTTTGTCCAAACATCTGTATTTTTTGTTTGTCCAGCATAGAGTTATTTATTAATAGCCATTATATTTTACTTTGTTCATGCCCAGGCTTCTATGTCCCCTTGGGACCACTCGTTTTTCTTGAGCTTTGTCTATCCATTTCAAACTTCTATATAGTTTTCTTTTCATCCTTTTTATTTTTAAAAGCATTACCCAACTCCTATCACCTTCTCATTTTTCTGTGTACAGGTACACCTCATTTTGTTGCACTTCATGTGCTTCATGGACATCGTGTTTTTTACACATTGAAGGTTTGTGGCAACCCTGTGTCAAGCAAGTCTATCGGTACCATTTTTTCCAACAGCATGTGCTCACTTCATGTCCGTGTGTCACATTCTGGTAATTCTCACAGTATTTCAAAACTTTTTAATAATGTTACTGTATACTTTAATATACAGTATAAACATAACTTCTACATGCACTGGGAATCCAAAAAATTTGTGAATCCCTTTATTGCAATATTCAGTTTATTGTGGTGGTCTGGAACTGAACCCATAATATCTCCAAGGTATGCCTGTTAAACTTATAAATGTCCTTATCTAAATTGATTGTATATAACCTCTTAATCTAAGATATAGAAAATGAGATGTTTTAGATTTGCAAGGCATTATTGTTTGTTCAATAGTTGAAGTGGAGTTTAGACTATAAATTCATTATAAGGTGCTAGGCAGAAAAATATCAAATTACTAGTTCTGTCAGTTTTAAGAAAATACTGTATTACCTGATGTAAAATTTGCATCGCTACTTTCTGATCTAATTTGCTTATATATCTGATATAAATAAATAAACAATAAATAATGCTTTTTATCACATGGTTCCTTGAAAGACTCAGAGATTCATGGATCTTTGCAATTGGTTGACATTCAGAATACATCATAACCTATAACTCAGCAAATAAACCTCATAGTGGGTAACTATAGGGCTGCTATCATGGACATTAGCTAGGCTTCTGGAAACCCCAACACATCCCACAAGTACCTGGTTTTAAATCTCAAACTACTGGGGCTAGTGTATAGGATATTAAGGTGAATAAACCTGGCATAGTTATAAAGATTCAGTGTACAGTGAATTGTTGACAAGTCATTGTCTGGGCTCCTTTTGAGAGTTCTATTTATCTTGGAAATATATTCTGAAGAAACTCCTACAATTAGGATTCCCTCTTTTCTAATGAAAAACTCTGGTGAGTACCTATAACAATTTTATCTATCTCATCTCCTGGAAGTCCCAGATAGGGGCCCAACAAACTGTAACATCTTAAATCTTTAAAATACCCTAGAATTCAAGCAAGGAGCCCCTAGTCCACACAATACGCTGCAGGGGGAACTGATTTTCCCAATGTTTCAATGTATTTAACAGCATTCGAAAAGAGGAATGTTAATGGATGTTTTTAATTCTTTTTCTCATCAATCTTACAAAAATTTTCAAGGTCAACCAGTTAATCCCAATACTGAGGACTAGAGGATGGGCTAAAACTAAATGCTTTCACATTTCTCCCTTCCTATCTTGGCAAAGAGAAATCTGACACCAGAACCAATAAGAGAAATAAAAACAACATAAGCATTCTTTTTTTGTTTTTATTAAGAAAGCATGCAAAAAAACAACAACTTGTGAGACCATATACCCCCTTCCCAGCCTGCACCAATGCAAAGCATTATGGGTGGTATGAAGAACTCACCAAACCAGAAACATGAGGGCTGAGGAGAGGAGGGCAGGGAGGGGTGGATCTACACCAAATAATGGCTCCTTCTGACCCTCTCCTCCACTTTCTCCCTATTTCCTCTTGTAGGCAGTGTGAGCTCCTGCAATTGTGTACACATCACCCAATACAACAACAATGACTAAACTTCACGTCCAGCAATGCTAGACCAACAAGAAAAAGTAGTATTCTTTCCATTTCATGGAAGGGAGGGGAAACTGAGGCCCAAAGAGGGTCAGGTTTGTCCTGTGCCATTTAGCAAGGGTACGCTTGGCAGAGGCCAATCTCCAATCCCAGCCCCAAACTTCAGTTATTCTGGCTGCCCACCAGGTTTCTTAATGATACTAGTTTTCAGGACAGGTGAATTATAAACAAAGGACATTTGCATGTATGATTTAATCTATCCTTACAAATGTTGTATGGATCTGAGCAGGAGAGGAGTTTCAAAAAGAGGAGTGATAATTTGTAAAGAGGGGAGTCTTTAAGAGAAGTGATTGAAGTTAAGTGTTGCAGGCACCTTGAGTGGAAGGAATAAGGAAGAGATACCTAAAACAGAAAAACACTAGGCAAAAGCATTTTGCCACACTCTAAGAGAAATTCTCCTTTCCCCAATGGGAAATACTATGTCGTACTTCAGCCACACTAACTGCCCTCCAAGGCAACAGGGGATTTAAGTCATTCCACCCCCATTTCTTCTTACAAAGGCTTCAAAGAAATAAAGTGCTCTTTAGTTAACTGTCCCTTCTTGCCCCTTACTTCAGAGTCACTGGACTTTTTCAACAAACTCTCATATATAACCCCTTCCAAGGAAAGGAAAGGGGTGGATGAAGGGTGAAAAAGGAGAGCAGAAAGCCAAATCTCCTGGAAATCATGGGTAAATAAAAATATGGAGGAAAAGCCCCAAGTAGAAATCAGAGAGTAAGCAGCCTTATCCATTCCATTCACTTTGCCCCACAGCTTCTAGAAAGTGAAAATTTAGTGAAATGGAAACAGAAGTAAAATTGTTCCTCTTCCTCATAAGTAATATTTAACCATTAACATTAAATATATATTGAGTACTTTGCAGCAATAAATCATGGCCACCCCTTGTTAAAGGAAATAAGTTATCTTTCCATCTTTTTCTGGCAGTCCCCTTGACTTGCACAGAACTCTTGCTTTTAGATAACTTACTCCCCTCTGCCAATTTCCTTCACCCCCAACAGCCTCATCACAACAGCTTCAACCCTAATGAACTGGACTCCAAGGTAAGTTTCCTAGTTAACTGAAATATTCACTATTCATATCTCTGCCAGCTCCCTTTTCCTCTCCCCACCTTCCTGCCACTAATACTATAGGTTTGATTCAATTAGCAGAGGTGAGAAGGAGGGTCTCTTTATGTCTTAGGACATGACAAAACGCAGAGTGATAATGGGTTACTTCTGCTTTCTGGAAAATTCCAGAAAATAGGGAAATTAAAAAAGAAAAAAAAAAAGATGTGTACATATTTGTCCAAGCAACTAAAGAAGGAAAAAGTAGTATTTGCTGAGTGGGAAAGGGGGATGGAAGGATGACAATTTGTAAACGCAAATAAGAGCCACAGTTAATTTTAAGAGAATTTTGCTTTCAAAAAACCAAAATGGTTAAGTTGAAACTGTCTCCAAAAAGCTATAGTACGCTGATTAGTTGTCCTCATGCCCTACCACAGAAGCAGAGTTCTGACTAAAACCAACTGTACAACCTAAAAAAATGGGGAGGGGGGGCCTAAGAATAAGCTAATGGAAGCTTATTTCACATGGCAGTATATATCCAAGGTCAGACTAGTTTATATTCCATTACTCCTCTACAGTATTCTACTGGACCCAACCTAGACCTGTCATTCCACTAGGATTTTATCGTCATCCTTCTCCATCACCATCACTGCCCTTACCCTTAATGGGGAATGAGGATTGTCAGAAGAACAGATTGAAGGATGAAGGGGCAGGGAAGAGCTCAAAGGACAAAAATTAGCACCATTGAGTAAAACCTGCAAATTCATGACTGCCAAGCAATGTTTTAGACCCCGTCTACTTGAAAATGTGGCCTTTCCAGTCCTGGACTGAAAATGCTATGAAGTAAAAACAATTTAGGGCCAAAATGTGGGAGTAGAATTGAAATGTTCAAAGAGAAAGGTAAATCATGGTTTGCAACCTTTCTCTATAGCTATCATAGTCTCATCTTCCAGCATGGTGATTTTAAATTAGCAAGGGGTGGACATGGTCCATAGTGTGAGGACAGGAGACTGGGGACAGCATATAACCAATAATAGGGATAATAATATAATAGGAATAATAATAAAGGAATTAGGAAAGAACAGGAAGGAAGAGAGAAGAATGAGGCAGGAAAGAGGGGTTATCTTCGGCAGCATCTTGTGGTGGCTTCTCTGACACAGAAAGAAAAAAAAAAAGAGGATACATATCTATATACAGGCAGGGGGAAGAGATGGGCTGGGGCTGCTTTTTCCCCATGGCCAGACTTCACCACCCGGCCCTGGGCTGATGTCCACACCTATGATGCACTAAGTGATCAAGTCCCAGTCGAAGTCATCAGGGATCTCCTCGCTGGCACCAGGAGGTGGGACTGGTGGCCGAGGGACCATATGGTGTGCTGTCAGAAAGAAAGAGAGGGTTAAAGGGAGTGTGCATGGGAAGCTAGTCTATCAACCCAAATGGACAGTGCTAGGGTCCAAATAAAACCATGAAGAAGGGCTTGTAAATCTATTGTCCTTACCAACCCAGAGTTATTTTTGTTGCAGGCCACCACTTCAGTGAGTTCTCAGGAAATAAACTAGAGTCAGTGGTCACATGGCAATAAAATATTATGCAGCCATAATTACATTTATGAAGACTATGTAAAATTTAAAAGCTATATTTATAAAGGTTATGTCATAATATTTAATATGTATATAATAGGTAATAATACTTCAAGGACATACAGGTGCCCTATTACATGAAATAGCAATTCATAAATTTTCACTTATATTGCATGAACAAAGAATACATGTACATGGAGTCAGCTGTTACCCAAAAAACTTGTAGTTAGGTAAAATAATAATCAAAAAAATCTATTGCCGTGGAGTCAATTACACCTCATTGCAACCCTGTAGGACAGAGTAGAACTGCCCCACAGGGTTTCCAAGGCTATAATCCTTATGGAAGCAGACTACCACATCTTTCTGCCTCAGATCAGCTGATGGGTTCAAACTGCCAACGTTTTGGTTAGCAGCTGAGTGCTTTAACAACTGTGCCATGATTTTTCTTAAAAGGTATTTAAATATGAAGGATCTGCTCATTTTGTATTGTTTATGGCAACTTAGGGTCCCCTTCTTTCCCTCTCCAAGACAGCTGGATCCAAGACTCCTGATAATAGATGTCATGTGACCAGAAAGCAACTACTAGCACCAAGTGGGTAGGTCTGTGTAACAAATTCGTTTCACTTGCCTGTGTATATCCTCTATCTAGATTCCAAAGCTAGACATAAATGCTCTTCATTACATATCTTTTGCTTATATTTTTGCTTTTACTTTTTTCATTATCACAGACACAAGTTAATTTTAGTCTAAATCTACCTTCTTTACTTCTCTCTGGGATTTACCTCCCTAGAAGGTGGCCCCAGGCCACCAGCGAATCACAAAGGCCTGCCCACTCTTGGCAGGTGCAGGAAGAAGGGCAAAGAATGCAGGCACAGAGCCAGAAGAAAGTGAAACAACTCATCCAGGAACAGAGTGCTGGGGCTGGTGGTGAAGCAAGTTTCCTGGCTCTTACCTGGGCGATTGTATCCTGCTGACTCCTGGGTGGGGAGTGGGTACATTGGTGATGGGCCAGGGTAGAGGTGGGGGGCCTGTGGGTGCCCATAAGAGTTCACTGCCAAAGCAAGACAGGAATTATTTGACTGCGTCCCAATAGAGAGGGAAAAAAATAACCCTTCCTCCCCTTACTATCTTTCTCCCTTCCTTGCCCTGAAGCATTTCTGCAGAAGTTATCAGCCCTCACCATTTAGGGTATGAAGTGACTGGATGCTAGAATTGCGAAATATCAAAGATAGTAGAAAGATGACAGTATAGAAACATGATCATCAAACACCTTTCATTTCCTTGGTTAGAAGATCATATAAATGCAGAGAATCATCACCCTAACCAATATGATCCAGGTGGCGTTACATAGAAATTTGGAATAGGAATTTTCCCTACAAAAGCTTTTCCCTTTTATTAAATAATTCTGGTCTTCCAAATCCAGTTCTAAAAAGGAATCTTATGGTCTATTTCTTTTGTATTTTTTAGCATAGGACTTCGCTGATATAATAGATGTTTAGTTGACGTGGCTGACAAATCACTCCATTGTTCAGTTTGGATCACCGCCCATGAAATGATTTCTCTTAATTCTCTTTTGCCCTTCTCCTGCCCCTCCCTTTTTGTCAGTCTCTAGCTCCTTGGCAACTTGCTTTGGGCAGTACCTTGGTTCATGGGTGATTCCTGTTTGCCATGGGTGAGGGCACAGGGGTCAGTAATTCGGGCAGAGGCTGGTGGCCGATGGGAGCCGCCTTGCGGGGGCACATGACCAGTCTGGGTAAGAAAGTGGTTGAGGGAGTCACAGAGATTGGCAATGTGATGCTGGTCGAGGCTCCAGTTCTTCTGCTCTGCCTGTCGCAGGCTCTCCATCAGTTCTACAATAGGAAGGCAATCAGTGTTAACTTTGCAGAGGCACCAAAACCCTATCCCTAGCTCACTGTCCCAAACATATCATAAACCATCACCACTAACAATATGCATAAACAATAATAATTTACAATTTTTAGAGCTCTGTGTTTCTAAACTCTCATTCTATTTGCTCCTTACTAAATTCTTATTATTTCCACCTTACCAATGAAAAAACAAAATTTAAAAGTAGTAAGTTGATTAGCCATAGTCACACTGTTAGTGGTAAAAAACAGTGGTCCTGACATTGAAACTTGGGGGCAGCGGTGGTTCAGCGGGAGGATGCTTGCCCTCCATGAAGGAGACTTGGGTTTGATTCCCAGCTAACGTATATCAAGTACAGCCACCACTCGAATGTCAGTGGAAGCTTGCGTGTTGTCAAAATGCTGAATTTGTTTCAGGGGAGCTTCCAGACTAAGACAGACTAGGAAGAAAGGCCTGGTGATCTACTTCAAAACACTGTGGATCACAACGGTCTCATCCCATTGTATGTGAGGTTACCATGAGCTAGAAGCCAACTCGATCACAGCTAACAACACAGTACCCAGGGTTTCTAAATTCTGCGGAGATTTCCCTCTCCCAAGCTCTGGTGGCATAGTGACTAAGGCATCTGACTGCTAACCAGAAGGTTTAACAATTCAAACCCACCAGCTACTCTGTGGAGGAAAGACTGGACAATCTATTTCTGTAAAGATCTACCACCTTGGAAACCCAACAGGGGTCACTATGAGTTGGAATCAACTCAGTAGCACTGAGTTTTTTTTTTTTTTGCCCTCTTCCAAAGATAATACTGACAAGGATAAATCACTGCCATATTTTAAGTTAAGATAAAATTAATTTAAACTAATTTACAAATAATATGACTATTATCCATCTTATATAATATAGAAAGTAAACAATGAAATCTTCCATCTCCAAACTTCACGTAACCGTTCCCTTCTGTTTCTAGCTTCTGTTGGGTTTTTCCACTTACCATGTATTCCTCTTCCCTCTATACACCATCCTTCCATCACTAACCTGAGAACTGTGACTGCTCAATACTTGACCAATTGAGCCGATTCACCATCTTGAAACTTTCTTTTAAGGAGTCGATATTGGAGCACCAGTCAGAAGGAAATGCTGAAAGAGGAGAGGAAAGTAGGTAATAAGATAAAAGTAAAATATAAGACACCAGCCAACTCATACCATAACTGACTACATGCAGGATTCTTGCATCTACACAGGTTACCAACTGCATTATCAAGATAATTTTAGGATCTCCCTCCCTGGGTGGCATAAATGGTAATTGTGCTTGACTGCTAACCAGAAGGTTGGAAGTTCAAGTCCACCCAGAGGCACCTTGAAAGAAAGGCCTGGTGATCTACTTCCAAAAGAATCAGCTACTGAAAATCATACAGAGATATTCTCAGCAACAGCAACTAAGATAAAATATTTTATTTTAAGAAAAGAAAGAAAATTCTCTGAAGCACAGTTCTACTCTGATGACATACATGGGGTCACCATGAATCAGAATCAACTTGATGGCAACTAGTAGAGATTTAGGTAGATAAAGCTACCTATGTTGGTGCAAATGGTTAAGCTCAAAGGTTGGCGGTTTGAACCCACCCAGAGGCTCCTTGGAAGACAGGCCTGGCGATCTGCTTCCGAAAGGTCACAGCCTTGAAAACCCTATGGAGCAGTTCTACTCTGCAACACATGGGGTCGCTATGAGTCAGAATCAACATGACAGCAACTAACAAAAAACATGCTTTAGGTACAGTCCAGCCTATAAGCAAGAGAATATGTAAACCAATCCCAATTTGACCAAGAATTCTGTAATACAGAGTTCTAAGTAGCAACTTTTATTCACTCAGATAAGCTCTCACTGGGGAATGAGGCTAAAAGACCTTACATCCCTAGATGTCCACTAGTAACTTCCTAACCTAGTACACCAACATGCCGGAGTCAGAACAGAAGGGCCAATTCATTCTGTGCCACCCACCCTCCTTACTCACCAAAGCCAGCACTGTTGATAGGAGCCTGACCTTGTGCCTGCTGCTGTGGTGGTGGTGGCTGCTGGGCAGGGTGGGAGTGGGGATGGTGCTGATGAGGGTGGTAGCCTCCATGCTGCAGTGGGGGTGGGTGCATGGCCATCACTGGGGGAGGCCCATAGCCTTCAGCTCCAGCTTGCTTCCCCCCTGGTGGGGTACAACCATCTGGGCTTGGAGTGTGCAGTGGGGGAGCACCCCCTACAGTTGAGGGGCCCTGGGCTGCTGGCTGCTGCTGCTGCGGCTGTGACTGTTGAGAAGGGGGTTGTGGTGGCTGCTGCTGCTGCTGCTGTTGTGGAGGCGGTGGTTGCTGCTGCTGGTACATGTAGTAGTTGTTAGAGGGTGGCATGTCCCCCAGGAGAGTCGCAAAGCCTGCAGGGTGAGGAGGAAGCAGGCAAGTGACGTGGGCAAACATTTTTCACTAAACAGGATTTTCACTGCATTGAGATAGGAGGCCTCAGACAGAAACTAGAAAGTTAAAAGGGTAAAGGTGCTACTATGGGACAGTAAAGACCGCCTTGGACCCCCCTGGAAGGTATAACAGACAGAAAAGCAATTTAAAAAAAAAAAAAGCAATTAAGTTGGGTTAGGGTCTTGACAGAATGGTCTACCATATACCTCTTAATGCTACTTTTTAGCAATTTACTATCGGTCTAAAATCATAGTTTCAAAAGATATCAGATTGCAGGTAAAAAGTAAATTATAAATAAATCAATACCATTGGGCATCTATTCTCTCCTCTTCCTTATTGTATACCTTTACCCTTACCTCCTTCTTCTATTCACTAGCATCAGATAGCCAGGGTGAGGAACAGAGTAAGGATGGATTCATTTCTCAAGCACATTGGACAGGAAAGAACCAAATAGTGAGGCTAGCAGCTCTCAGTAGCAATTGAACTTGAGTGAACACTTTGGTGTCCTCACTCAATTTAATGTTTTATATTATTTCTGATTGTCACTTCATGTTTCCCACCTCCTAGCAATCAACCAATCAAGCAAATGCTACCATCTTGAAACATAACTCTAGATGTCCTAGAATGTAAGGGAAGAGATTCATGACAATTAATACAAGTTTTCAAAAAATATGACTCCTAATTAGTTTTTAAGCATTCCATTCAGCTTCCATCAAAAAGAAAAAAACAAAAAACAAACCTCACTGCCATCGAGTCAATTCCAATTCATAGTGAGCCCCTTTGGGTTTCTGAGGCAGTAAATCTTTACGGAAGTAGATTGCCCAGTCTTCCTTCCACAGAATATCTGGTGGGTTTGAACAGCCAACCTTCTGGTCAGCAATCAAATGCCTTAAGCACTGAGACAGCAGAACACAGCGCAAAAAGGTCTACCTCTAATTTTAAAAAAAAAAGGAAACTACACACACAAGATTTCCATCAACTGGACGGTGCCAAACTACCATTATTGGATATTTGGATCAAAGATTCTATAAATGAATCTTGATCAAAAAGGAGGAAAGGTAGAATAGAATTTCAAATGCTCGTAGAATCTAGACTTTCTGGAGCCATGGAGGCTAAATGAATCCCTAAAACTACTGCCATGAGCTAATCTATAAACTTTAAACCAAAAATACCCCCTGCAGTCTTAAAACCAGACAACAGTTTAGCTTAACTATTGAAGAATGTCTGTCTTGAGCACTGTGCTCTTTTAAGGTCTATCTAAATGGGATCAAATTAACAACAGCAACTCAAAAGATTAGATAGGAAACTTAGGACACAGTGAGTTTATGTTAATGGAGGAGGAAAACTCAGAAAAGGAGGGTGAAAAATGGCTGCATGACTCGAAGAATATAATCAATGTCACTGAATTGTACATGTAGAAATTGTTGAATTAGTGTATATTCTGCTGTGTGTATTCCCAACAACAAAAACAAAATGAATTATATAAAAAAGAAGCCTCTCAATAAGGACTTTAAATCATTCTCACAGAGTAATTAGGGAAATGTGAATGTGGACAAGATTATTAGCTGATATTAAAGTAGTATAGTTAATCGTATTAGGAGTAATAATGACACGGTAGATAGCTAAAAGGCTCTATCATTTAGGATGCATACTGAAATAGTATTTGTGGGTGAAATGACATGCTGTCTGGGAACTGCTTTAAAGTATTCCAATTTAGAAAAACAATGTTGATGAGTTAATGAAATAAGTTTAACTAAATATTGGTAATTGTCAAAGTTGGGTAATAGGTACATGGGGGTTTATTATACTATTTCCTTTACTTTTTGCATCTGTGAAATTTTTATGTAACATAATATATGCTAAAAAAGAAAAGTAAATTGTTCTCACACTGAAACAGAGGGATTCTTGGGGAGAGAATATTACTACTGTCCCCTAGTGGCCATCTTCTAAATAACTTGCTTGTAGCCATAAAATCACTGCCCTTAGTTCTAGGGGGAGCTCTGGTGGTGTAGTGCCTAAGGCATTTGACTGCTAACCAGAAGGCTGTAGGTTCAAACCCACCAGCCATTCCTCAGAAGGAAGGTTGGGCAATTTACCTTCGTAGTGATACTGTCTTGGAAACCCAAGGAGGGGTCACTATGAGTCGGATCTGACTCAATGACAGTGAGTTTGGTTTAGTTCTAGGTAGAGGATTCCTCCAACTCGCTATCTAACGACTAATAACCCAGTCTCCTGAAACAGCTGTTCTCCAGAACTAAGACAGAAGAGCTTGACTCCAAAAAGTTTAAATATAAGACATGTTTCCCTGACCAGTGATCAACCTCTCCTTATGTCAAAAATAAGAAAGAAAGGAGAGAAGAGAATGTCACCAATTGTCCAAAAGTGCAAGGACATCCATGTTCTCAACTCCAGACTCACCATGCTGAGAGGAGGAAGACGACTTCTCCAGCATGGATTTGTAGAGATTGCGGAAGGACCAGCTTAGATCTTGAAAGTTGATCTCTGAGTAGGATAATTTGAAGTCATGGTTGGTGTTATAGAGGGAAGGGGGGCCCTCAGCACTCTCTCGGCCCGGAGCCCCTGTTGCCACTGCTCCACCATCCACAGATCCTGTGCCCTACAAAAAGAGGTGAGAAAGCCCTGATACATGTCCTAACTGAGGAACCGATACAACCCTTCACTGGTCACTAAGCTCTCCTGCCTGTCCTCCTCACCCTCTCCTTTTAACTCTTCGGTGATCCAGTATGATTTTCTCATTGGTTCTTAGCTTGATCTAACCTCTTTCTCTCATCTTTCTCCATTTCTTTTTAAAATATCCTTTCCCAATGCTACACTCATGTCCTTCTTTCTCTTCTCATAACCTTTCAGTTCCCATTCTTCCTTTTTTAGTATTTTTTATTTTTTTCTGATCTTTCTCAAAGTTCTGTTTTACCTTTCTCTCTCATGCAGTTTCCTTCTTTGGGTTACCCCTTCTTTCCTAACTTTTCTGCCTGATATATCATAGATACTCAATGCATAATTTTGAACAGGGAAATATATGCATCTATGCAACCATCCACCCAACCATCCATCTGTATGCCACCTCCGCTTCCTACCTGGCTGTAGCTGGCAATATGTGTAGGACTCTGAAGTGACATCTGAGGATTCCCCTCGGGAGGCAGCGAGGCTTCTCCACTCCCCGAAACACCTCCCCGTGGGCTCTTGCTTGCCTCCTGTTCTGGTGAGTCCTGGGAGAGCTACAGGTTGTGAAGGAAGAGAAATCTATAAGCAGAGGCTTAATAGTTTCTCAATATCCATGGTTTCACTTCTGCTGGTGTTCCTTCTTTACCCAAAATAACAGGACAATATAGGAAAGGATGGAAAACACAGGAAATTAGGTAGAAGGGGTACCTGGTTCAGAAATGCCATCTCCCCACAAAGTGGGAACTTACATCATCATCTGGAGGATGTCTTCTCTTTCGGGAGATGTCAGGGCAGGTGTCAATCGTCCAATAAGAGCCCTGGAAGGAGAACCATCCCCACAGAGAACAAAATCATTATATACAGAAGTGCCTACTTCAGGAAAGTAGAAATTTTTTATTTCCACATAAAATAAGTCATGCTAAGAAAAATGATGAGAGATTTGCCCAGAATCCCCAGGGCACTGGCTATTATTGAAGAGGAAGTTTGTCTTAAAAGGTCACTGAGTGTGACAGAGGTACTTCTGCGGTTCAATACAGGTCTCAATTGTTCTGGAGGGCCAGAAAATGGTGGTGGTGGTGGTGGTGGTGTATGTGCCGTTGAGTCGGACCCGACTCATAGCGACGACCCCTCCTTGGGTTTCCCAGGCAGAATCACTTCAGAATGGTATGTAATTCAAAGCACTGGAAAAGTACAGATACTACCCTTCTCTTCCTTTGTGACCTGAGTAATGACCTTCTTAGACTTTAGCATCCACATCAATCAAATGGAGAAAATGATCCAGCTCTTCTCCCTTTTGATGGTTTGGAACTAAAAACCATGGGAATTTTGGACAGAAAAATTCCTACAAAGGTTATTAAGCCCATCTCTCTACATCTAAAAAAAGGAGGTATTGGAGTCAATCTTAACATAAATATTTGTTTGGGAAAAAAAAAAAAAAAAAGATTTCACAGTGTTCCTTAGTCACTCCTTCTAGTAGGCGCCCACAAATTTGACAACCAAGCTCTTCCTTGAGGAAAAAAATAAAGCTGCTTCTCTCATTAACACGATTTCCTCTTCTGGGTAATTAAAACATCCACTCAACTCTGGGTTGTCAACCACTTCTCTCCCTTCCCTGCTCCTCCCTTTAAGACTTGCAGCAGTCTCTCACCTTCCCAGGGTCATCTCGAGGTCTGGGCACCTTCCGGAAACACTTGTTGAGAGAAAGGTTGTGCCGAATTGAATTCTGGAGAAGCAGAGAAGCAAGTCAGATCTGAGCAGAAATTTTTACAATAGGATACAAAGGGTTATAAAACAGACTATATAATAAAGATCAAGTATCAGTAAACTTAGCATTTCTGTACTATACTGATGGAGAAAATGACCTATCAGGTGGTGCTATGAATTGAACTGTGTCCCCAAAAAGTATGTGTTGTAAATCCTAACCTCTATGCCTGTGGTCATAATCCCATTTGGGAATGGGCTATTATGTTAATGAGACAGGATTAGTATAGAGTGTTATCTTGAATCAATCTCTTTTGAGATATAAAGAGATTAAACAAGCAAGCAGAACAGAAATGGGGAAAGAGATGCCAAGGCACATGAAAATTCCCAGAAGCCAACAGAGGAAGCCTTCCCCTAGTGCCAGCACCATGAATTCAGACTTCTAGCCTCCTAAACTGTGAGAAAATAGACCTCTGTTTATTAAAGTCACCCATTTGTGGTATTTCTGTTATAGCAGCACCAGATAACTAAGACAGACGGCAAGAGCCACAATATGAAAAAAAATGTAGAAATTAAACTGATGACAGGTAATGGCTATGGATTTGATTACTAGGTGCTTCTGGAAAGCTGATTATATCATTTTTCAACCTTTCCACTCAACTGACAATAGCCAAATAAATGTTTCAAAATCACATCTGCATAGTTCCTTAATTCAACCTATCTGTAGCAAAAACAAATAATGTTTTCAAACTGCTTATAAATTATTATGAGGGAAACAAGGGCACAGATCACCCATGTTATCTCTACTGCCTACAGAATGGTCACATTTGGAGGAAAGAAATATTGTTATATATACATAAGGATTGTGGTAGCTGGCAGGGGCATATTTATAAAGGAAAAGCTGAATGCTGTCAAGAGCCTCTGGCTCATCATCTGGTTTGTATGTCAGTTGGTGATTTATAGCATGAGAGGACTACATTAAATCCCCAGTCCTACTCAAAAACTGGCAAATGAGTTGCTGCTTCAAAAGATTAAGAGCATCAGTCTTCCTTCTCTGCTAGAAAAGACCCCCCTTCTTATTCACCTGTAGCCAAACAACTTATCCTATCATTACTGCATGGTGGACCAGCTGTTTGTAAAGGATCTAATTATATTAGTTTTTCAAGAGGTGATGACTATGTACGATGAGGCTATGCAAATCTGATGAGATTCCTACCTCCAGCGAGCATCGAGCAATGCCATGCCTTGCACAGTGACCTGAACACAGCAGAGTGGCAATAAATATTTGTGAAATGAATGAATATCCTTTTTGAGCAATAGTATCCTGCCATCCTCATAACTATACTTAGAGGCTTGGCATCACTAGAGTTTCCCTGACATAGCTTATGAAAATTGTTCAACTCTGAAAAAGAGTAGGAGATGCGAGACATGAGTTCCCCCAGCCTTGAGACAGGTCACAGTGAACTGGACTAGATTATAGGCAGAAAGAAAAGTAGAGAAAATAGCTTTTGAATGCTTAAAAATAATCCCAGATTACAGAAGTAATTGCACCTTCCAGCCAATGCCAGCATTCTTGTAATAGGGGAAGTTATCACAGATCCAGCGGTAAATCTCACTGAGGGTCATCTTCTTGGCTGGAGAGGAGTTGATGGCATAGGTGATGAGGGTGGCATAGCTGTATCGTGGTTTTCCATCCTGGTGGACTGCTGCCTCGTCTTTGCTCAGGGTGGCATTGGGATCTGTGGGTGAGCCTGGTGGGCACTTGCGGCTGCCCCCTGGAGGCCCAGCCTGGGAGGCACTTCCAAGCTTCTCAATAGTAGCTCGGAGGGTCAGCTGGGGGAGCCAGTCTATAGAGGTGAGGCTACTCTCTAGGTCAGAAGCCATGGTACTTCTGGATTCTATAGAGAAAAGGACAAAGGAGAGAAATAGAACAGATAAGTGTTATCTCTGGTTCTGGAGACAAGTAATACTCAAATCCCAGTTCTTTAAGGGAAATAGATTTTCTTCCCACCATAATTCCTGCAGAAGATTCTTCTTGTGGGGCAATGTTTAGCCAGGTGTTCCCAGACCCTCCCAATCTGATATACTACAAATCATCTACCCAATGATGGACTAGTATTTATCCTATTTTTCCAATGCAAAACACAGCCTAGGGGCTTCTCCCTTCATGCAGGACTAAATGAGAGATCAAATCACCCACCAAATTGAGCTATTCCCTTGACTGTCCTTACTTAAAGCCATTCAATATAGTATTCTAAAACTCATCTAATGCAGAACATATGTATTTCATATTATTTTATATTATATGTACACATAAAGACACATACGTATAAAACCAAACCAGTTGCCATCAAGTAATTCTGACTCATGGTGACCCGACGTTCTGCAGAATGGAACTGTAATCCATAGAGTTTTCAAGGCTGTGACCTTTTGGAGGCAGATCATTAGGATTTTGTTCTGAGGCACCTCTGGGTGACTTTGAACCGCCAACTTTTCAGTTAGTAGTTAAG